AATAAACCCAGCCAAGGGGACAGCTCGGGCAAAAGCCACTGCTTGCGGAGGAGGAAGGTGCTGGGCACACCACTGCTGAAACCCATACACGGTTAGCAGCCAGCCTGGCAAAGGCAGTCCTGCTACTGGTAACGCTGCAGAGAGCACGGCGCAGAAATACCTGGGGACCTGTGGAAAGCTGTTCTCCGTCTTGCTTACATAATAACACAGTTTTTCTTTCCCCCCCTTAAAATTGTTTCTTTAGCAAAACACGGCTGAGAAAAAAGACAGTTGGAGTCTTCCTCGCCTTGCCATTTCTTGGGCTCAGTGTTGCAGTTTCCCCTCCAGGAATCATTAGTCAGGGTTGCGAAATGATGGGGGGAGCCATGGCAGGCGGGCAGCCCGGCAGGCCCTCCTCCCTCAACACACACCTGGGCGTAAATCAGAGGCTGCTGTGCTGAAGCCAACACAGCCCAAGCGGCCCAGGAGGCGAACCAGCTCTGTGAGAAAACTGAGAGGTGACATGACGTTATTTGGCAGCAGGGAGAGGTTCGATTTATAGTGATTTCCTAAGGAATTAGACCATGGTTCTGGACAGGATTTCTCTTTTAGACAACACTTAATTCTTTTAAAGGACGAAAGCAATCTTGATTTGCATTTCAGACCTCTTCCTTAACGAGAGCAGCAGTGGAGGAGCTGAGCTGGTGGCGACCCGCTGCTGAGAGCCCCAGCGTGATGCTCGACCCAGAGCAGCTCACGGCTGCAGGCCCGGCAACTTCCACCACGAGCAGCTCTGGCTCGGAGCCGGCCAAGTGATAAAAGACTTGTTGTGTGATCATCTCAGGAGGGAAGCCTGGTGCCAAACAAAGCTGCAGTCTGGTTGAGTCTTTTTGCCATCAGAGACAAAAACAAGGGGAAAAAAAATCCACAGAGCTGGGAAAATAAATAGAAGCTGCAAAATGTTCAAATAAAATCTTTTCCAAGAAAATGAAAAAGCCAACAGTGGCTTGTCTGGCTTTGCTGGCAAGGCGCTGGTTGCACCACTCTTTGTGCAACCTGACAGTCCTGTTAGTGGCTTCACCTTTTTCACCTACACATCTAAGGTCTGGAGAGCTTCCCTGACTGTCCTCCGGATGGCTGAACCATCATGCTGCCGTATGCAATGACTTTAGAGAAAACTGTCACTGATCTTTGGACAGTTGATGCTTGAGTGGTTCCCTCTCCCTGCCAACCCACGTTTTGAGGAGTATCCAGGCTCAGGGCTGGATCCTGCACTCCAGCCACTGTAAGGGGCATCTCTGAAGTGATGCGGATTTTACCTGTTGCTACTTCCAATAACAAAAAAGATGTCTGATGATATAAAACCAATGGGGAACATCCCTTCCCCTCTCTGCCAGTAACTGCAGTACGGGCTCACTTGCTCCAGTCGGAAGCAGCCTATGCTTATCTCCGTGTCTTTCTGCATTGCTGCTGCCAATACTCCCAGGTAGCTTCTTTGGGAGTCTCTGCCTTTCCCCTGGACCACTGCAGTCTGTACGCTCTTAAGAGAAGGACCTTTCTTTGCCCATGGCTCTTCAGCATCCAAACGTCTGGTTGTCGTTTCCAAGTGCCGCCGCACTGAGCACATCGCATCATTTCAGAAGAGCTCAGAAACAACCACCAGAAAGCAACTACGAGGGGAGACACAAGGTTGCTACAGGAGTAAGATGAGAACATTTTTCTTCAGAGGGCTGAAAAACGGGCTTGAGCTGATGAGGGAGGGTACTTTGTACAGACTGCAGAGATGGCCAACTTTCTGGCGGGTGCAGGCAGGTTTCTGGGATACAAAGCAGCTGCCAGTAGAGCAAGAGGGGAAACTGCCCAGGATCACACAGGGAGGGCAAGGCCACAAAGCATGTCTGCGGGGAAGAGAGGGAGGACAAGGCTGCTATCTCTGGCATTACACTGAGACTTCCACAGCCCCAGAGGCTCAGGGAGAGGCTGGAAACGCCAAGGATGCAACGGCTCACCTGGAGAGACCGAGTGCGCCAAGGGCCGGACCTCACATGCAGAAGTGCCACGGGCTCCTTCACGGCGTGGATTTGCTCCCGAAGCCGCAGAAGAAGCCAAGGCCTGTGGCATGACCCAGACAAGCCACGCTGGAGACTCCAGCTCCACCCTGGCCACAGAGGGACGAAAGCATTAAACACCCAAACAGGAACCTTTCACAGCCAAACAAGAGGAGCCGAGGGAAACCACAACTTTCAAGCAAGCCCAGCTGCTTCTCTGCAGGCCTGCAGTTGAGGCAGATACCCGAGGCCATGTGGGCCTGGCTGGCGCCTCGGCTGCAAGAACACGCAGGGTACACATGTGCAAGGCCCAGACATCAGCTGCAGGACTCTGCTAATTGGGAAAGTCTGTCTGAGTGTCTAGCCACCGCTTGGCAGACTCAGCAGCTCTGACAAAATAATAAATGTGGTACAGCGCAGCCTCCAGGCATTCCTTCTTGGGGTCTGTCACATGAAAGGGACATGAAAGGAGGTGAGGCCACGCGAGACGCACAGAGGTCAGCTTTGGAGACACTCTCTGATTACCTCTCGGGGAGTTACTGCTAAGGGGAGTTGGTGGCCCCTCTCTGCTGATACACTCTGTTGTTTAAACTCTCCTTTTAAAAACAGGCGATTCTTCCCATCCAAAGTAAACATGCTTCAGTCCTGGTTGTCCAAGCCAGTTATGCTGTTGGAGGGTCTCTCTCCAGGCAGACAGGCCCATTTCTAAAGAGTGTGAAGAGAAGCCAGAGATACGATAAAAGGACCAAAAAAAAAAAAAGGCATACAGAAAAGATAACTGGCCTTAGTGCATCAGTAACATTTGAGGCACTACTCTCTTCCTACTCACCTGCCTCCGAATCAAGATGAACAGAAGGTTGCTGAAGTGCACGTTGCATGGAGAAGCATCACCAAGCATGTTCAGCACAGCTCCAAGTACTCGAAGAAGAAACGCTGTTGAGGATCATTCCCACAGCCTGTCTGTTACTGGGTGCACAACCTTCACACAGCAAGATGACCATAAGTGATTCCTGCCAGCAAGCAGGTTCCTGGGGCTCCTTTTCCTTAGTCCATCAAAGCATGAACGTATTGAAATGCAGACTGGTGCAGTTCTTCTCCACCTGGGACTCCAGAGCGTACTGGTGTTTGTACCAACACTCTTTAATAAGAAGAAAATATGCCTTTCCCAGTGGACCATGCCGTGTTGGGGAAAAGTAGAGCGACATGGAGTTCTTACTCTACCAAAGGAGCAAGGTCTTCAGCCAGTAACGCTCCGGGTGGTGCACAGGACTCATGCTGGAGGAAGGTGCTCCACATTGAGCTCTTCAGAAAGGAATTAATTCCCTTCCAGAGAAAGCAGGGTCACACCAGCTTGCAATAAGGTTCAAGAGACAGCTAAGACTGACTGGGTACCCCCGGGCTTGCAAGCGAGTGAGAAAAGCAGGTGGAACTGGAGGAGGGAGAACTGAGCTCTACACAGCTGGGGACTTTCCTCCTGGTACTTTTACACTGGAGCACCAGAGAGCCATCTGACCCCACCTGCCTTTAATGAACTTGGCTGAAATGTCTAAAATGCACAATAGGCAAGCTAAATACATAAGCCTACTGGATTTATAGAAGAGATATTGACAAATACCAGGAACATTTCAAGCCAAACACATGACGGCATTCACTACACCCCTCCCACCCACTGCCATATCCCAGCTTAATGTAATGCCTTTTGGCTTCTCAAGGCTTAGAGCTATGTTCCATTGTTTACATAGGTCAACAATTGCAATTATATGTTGACTCCAGGCACTATACAATCACGATGATGTGTTAACATGCAGCAACACTTGGATGGAGTTTCTAGAATTTTGCTGCTGCTAAGTCACATATAGGATGGCAGCCGGGCTGGTATCTCCTATGCTACCTGTGAAAACTAGGAAGCTTATCAGTGCTGTGCCATTACCAAGAAGGTGAGATCAGAAAAGGAGCTCTACTTTTAATATAAGTATAAACTCTATTTCTGGAAATCATTTTGGGAGCAGGACTCTCTCTCTAACCATAGAGCCAGGCACATTGTTTATAAGGCTGCTTTAGAAAGGTGCCATTCCCATCTCCAAGAAGGACCTCTTGACAAGAACTGAGTTTGAATGGGTAAGGATGATGGCATCTTTTTCAGACAGGATAGGAGGGGGTCCTACAAGCACATCTGTGTGCAGCTACTTGTAAAGGAGCACCTTCACCAGGCTAATGGGGGAACAAAACAGTACAAAGATTCTAACTGATCCCTACAACAAATGCATTCAAAACACTTCACATTGAAGTAATTGTTTATTTCACACTGGGGAAGAGCGCAGCTAGGTTATGCAGACCCCCTTCCAACGGACACGATAGTTTTGCTCCAATATAAATTTCCACACGCTCAACAGCCTTCTTCATCAGGTTGCATCCGTGGAACAGCTACCACCAAACGTACAGCAAAGCTGCCGCTTTATCTCAGCTCCGAAACACATTGAAGACAACTCTTTGAAACGCACTCACAAAGTGTCTCTCCCCCCAGGCTTTAGCTTCCCAGCGGCCTGTGCAGACACACACAGAGACACCCCAAACGCAGCCTTGCTCATTTCTTCCAGCCAGGCCTTTTCGACTGTTGTGTCACTGACCACAGAACTTGCTTGCCATTAATCAGGTATTAACATTCCCTGTGCTTGGCTTTGCAAGCACACTGGGACCAGACCCATCACTTCTTGATTTGTTAGCACGCTGGGAACCCTGAGATGCCAGGATTTTGCTGACAAATGACCTTTTATACCCACCACAGCTGTCAAATGGTTGGCCTAGCCTCAGTCCAGTATTAGACAGATGCGTAATGTACTAGTTACAGTTTCTCTCCTTTTTCTTAATATTCACCGTTAGCTGTTTGTTTTGCTTTGTATTTTTTTCAAGTTCAGAAACCTTAGTAAAGTTGTTATGGAAAAAATAAATTTATTATTCAACATCCTCAATCTTTTCAAAATGGAATGATCCTCTTTTCTTTTTTTTTGATTTTCATTTACAACTGGTTCCATTCAGTTTGACTGTCTTTATCTTTTCTATTTATAACCAGCACCAAAAAGAAAATTACCATGGATACAGTACATATGCAAATTAACTAATGGAAAAATATATACATTTCACTCTGTAATGAAAAACTTAAATGATATTATTGCCATGGAGGATATATCCCTGTATTATAATAAAATATCAAGCAATAATCGACTGCTAAGATTCTTTTCCACCAACAAAAAATAGCACCATACATGAGATAGTGAGAATCTACACTCAATAACACAATTGTGCAACTAGAAATGTACAGTACTTTAGTAACAGTACAGAGTATTGTTTACAATATGGAAATACCACCACTGTAATCAAAAGAGCGTCAATCTCTTACGAACAACAACTAAAAAAAAGTATTGTCATAGATGCACTGAAACAAACGGCTTTCTTTTCCCCAGTATGTAGTAACTGAGGGCAGAGCATAGCTGTAAATTCATAGACAAGCTCCTATAAAATTATACAAAACAGAAGTGCAGGAGTATTGAACAGAATTAAACTTTGTTCCCCCATTTTTCTGGCCATTATAAAATGGGAGGGTTGTCCCCAGATGAAGAGAATGTAATAAAATTGAGCTGTGTTGTGTCATCAGTTTTTAATTAATGATGGTTTCTTATTTTTAAAAAAAAGGGATGCATGCTAGTCTGTGGACTGGGAGAGCAAGTGAGGTGTTTTTCAGTGCTCAGACATTCAAAAATATAAATCCATGTCTCCTTAGACAGGAGCCAGAACTTTGACCCAAATGTCTTTTGAAGTCCACAACCTACTGCACTGGGACAAGCCACAGGTCTAACTAGTCCAGCATCCTGTTTTGGACAGCGGCCAGCAGTGAATGATTAGGGAAAAATAAGAATTAAAATCTTTCCTCTTCTACGCACCCTCCTAGGTGGCCACCTATTGCCTAGGGAGGGCACCAGGTCAGCACCAGAAGGAAAAAAAAAATCTTTGTTATTTAAAAACACCTTTGATTTCCATTAATAATAAATACATGTATTATTCTTCCAAGATGACAGAAAAACCTGGTGGCAAACCCTTCAACAGCCCAATCTAACGCTAGCAATGTCAAAAATGATCAGCAAGGGGGTAGCGTTTCACCTAGCCAGGCCCCTTCATGGGTATATGTTGCCCAATAAAAGGAAAACAGCAGCGAGCGCCAAACCTAAAGAAGGATGGAAAGGGCCTGTGCTCTGCCAAACCACTGCAAGAGCCAGCAAGGGCTGCGCGCCTGCAGGGCATGGCACCAGGCAAGAGGGAAAACTACCCCTGGTAAATCCGAATATAAAGCAGGTCTGTTGGGCTGTATCTGATCTCTCTGGCACTTTCTCATTAGCAGCTCGTCTACTTACTAATTACTGGATATCACTGTGGTGTTGCCGAAAACTTCCCTGTCACCATTGCCAGCCAGCACCCTTTTCACCCATTATTTCCTACGGGACTACACAACCACTAATACCACTAATACCACTCTGCATTTGGGCTACAGGGTGGCGATAACAGAAGAAAGAGGTCTGATCCTGACTTTAGGATGCCAAAAGAGCATCCAGTATAACAAAAACCAAGTGAGAATCATTTCCCTGATGGAGAAAATCATCTGGGACATGGGAAAGCAGATCTGTTTGAGACAGACGCTTGAGAGAAAGCTGTGTGCAAACGTGCCTTTGTGCATACAGGCCAGCACTTGTGTGTACGCACGCTCATTTGCGCTGACAAGCACAGATGCAAACGTGATGCCCACACAGTATCAGTTTGCTGCTGAAGATTAGATCTCTATGCTTGAAAAACATAGCTCATAATAAAATGCTAATGAGTTATGCCAGTGAGGTCCTGGATATTGAAAGGTTTGCAATAAGAAAGAAATAGTTGCTTTAAAAACATGTTAGGGCCTAAGAGTCTTTATCCCTCCCAATGCTGGAAAAAAGAAACAGCAACAATGACAACTTGAGGACAGGCGCGAGCTGCAATGCAGCCTGGCCCAGGGGCTGCAGTAGGAGCTGAGCTGAGTCTTGTGCTCCTTTTCAAAGACTGAAACAGTAACACCCAGTTCTAGAGCGAGTACAAAGCTGCGATTCATGCAAAAGGCTCTGTTCGTATCACGAAGAGCGGGCTGTAACTTAACCACTGCACAACTGGCCTTGGAGCCTGGCAAGGGAAATGATACATGTTAGAGCAAGATATGACAGAGAGACATTGATCTGTAGGACTAATGTAGGGGACAAACTCTGCCCTGCGTAGCGCTCCCATTTCAAGTCTTATATCTCAGAGAGGAGTTTGGTTTAAAGTGCAGAAACATGGAAGAGAATATCATATATGCAGCACTTGCCAAGTGCTCTGATAGCACCAATCTGATAGCACCAAACCTGATAGCACCACAAAAGGGAGACAGGAAGCATTAAAATACAGTGAGCAAAATCCTAACCTCTGCTGAAGGCAACAGCAGTCTTAGCCTTACGGCTTCAACAAGCCCAAGATTTCACTTTGAATGTCCTATATCAATCAGTACTTTTGACTCAAAGGGCTATGTAACCTCAGATGGATACAAGAGCCAAGAGATGGGAAACACCTGTTTTGCTCTCCAGTCCAGCCTTCATACAAAGGCTTGTCCACATCCTGTTTCTGTACCAACGCTATCCAGTTTCACAGTCCTCTTAAAAATAACATTCAGGCTCATTATCACATCGACTTCTAAAAACTGGAGAGCAGAGATGAAACCAAGCAATTCCCCAGTGAACTACTGGATGAAATGATTTCTGGCTTCTCCTATCTCATGCAAGTAGTTTTTGCTTTAAAATGACTGTCTACTGCTGTTAATAAGCTTCCACTTCATTAAGCTCAGTGAAAAAATAGGCTTCATAAAGGAATTGTACATTTTTCTAGGAAAATGAGAGAGAAAGAGAGGATTTTTTTTCCAAATGAGAAAGAACAGTCCCTATTGGTTTTAAAAATTTGACGTGGAATGTTGGATGCTATTGCCTTTCTGCAGGAATTTCAGAGATGTCCATCCTCTGCTATCAGTTTTCACAAGCTTTTATAGCAAATCCTCTCTTTAAATTAAGCCTTTCATTTATGTGTGTCCCTCCAAGCCCACTCCACAGCAGGATAACTGTTGGGAATTAAAAACATCAGATGAAAGCCAAGACTGAAAGATTAAGCAATGTCTCTACCTTTGCTGAATTATTTTGCCAGAGGCCTTCCTCCACAGAGGTACCCATAACCTTAGTCAATGTAATCACTTTGCAACTCTTGTCCTTTTCTTTAATGGTAGCAAGCCATCCAGTGGCTGGTAATTTAATATATTAAAGTAAAAAGCATTAATGAAAAAGGTAAGGATGTCAAAACACAATAAAATGATTGGCTCCTTGAGATGACTCTTTTCTGCGTGTTTTTTTAAGGTGGATGAGTGGATTACTTTGGTATCCAGTCTGTAGAACTAGTTTCAAGTCTTATTAGGTAAGCTTTGGAATCCACCACATTGTAGCAATTCATTAAGTTCCAGTACTCAGACCTAATAGTCCATGATTTACATACAAATAGCTGTAATACCCTAGGAAGTAGCACAGGTTCATTAACTCTTCTGCTGCATCTTGTTTGCATAAAAGTCTCTGCAAGTCTGGCAACAGCGCTGATACCACCGCATGTCTTGGCACAGATTCTTCTCCCGGATCACCCTGCAGTACACTGTCCACTGGTCGCCTGTACACTTGTACGTGAGAGCAGCTTTGGACAAGAAAAGAAAGGAGAAACTAGCAGATTAGCCGGAGAACAGCACCGCAGATGTGATCAAAATCACTGCAAATCAGGAAAGTAAGGGCCAATCTTGCTGTCAGCACTGGAGATAAGATGGTAAGTGTCACATGTGGTCTTACAAAAGAATAATGGGTAACAAAATTGTACACTTCATAAAAATGTATGTATATACTGAATGCTTTTTATGGTGTGTGACTTATAAATTGCATGTAGCACTCATATGAACGCTATGTTAATTGGCAAATGTTCTAAATGAGGATAATGGTCTCTGAGGTTGGGAAAAATTGAATAATTAAAGCACATCAGAGGGTGCTGACCTAGGAACATCTTGAGCCCTTGTTCCTCATCTCTGCTGGATGAAAACAGGAGAGGCCCACATGCTGTATTTAGCTTGGGGTCTCAGTGCCAAGTACCAGAAAACCAAGGCAGTAGGAACTGGTAGGAAAGCATATCACTGAAGCTTCGTTTTACTGGACAAGAGGCAAAAGTTTGGTAGAATCTGATACGGTGAAGTTGGCGCTGTCCCAGAAAAAAGGAACACAAAAATAATTTTGAAAATTTGACTGCGAGAAAAAAAAATTAAAAGCAAGTGGAAGTGATCACTGTGAACAAGGAGCAGGTGGAGTGGTTTCTGAGAGTCCACCAGTGGTGGAGAGGCTCTGAGAGTGTTTGATCTGCATCTCCCCACACCTGTTGGGTTCCTATTGGGTGCAGCGGGCAGGAGATGGGATACAGCTGGCTAAATCTCAGTAAACCATCTGAGACTCACCTTAATCTGAGATGAGAGACTTCATATCACAGAAGGCACTGAGCCACAAAAAAGACTGGGCCTCTAACATGTTTCACTTGTTTAAAAATTAGGTGTTTGCTATAAACCAGAGGTCCAAGGACCTTTACAGGTAGTGCATAAGATAAGCATGTCTAGGACATACACAGGCCAGGTATCTGAGGGGAGGAGTAAATCCATTTGAATGTCTTTCTTTTCACTAAGGTACACCGGGCGCAGATGTGAAAGTCAGGTGAGGTGAACTCCACATTTAGATACTTCTGAAAATGTTACCCAGGATGAAAAACATTCTGGAGCCGGGAAAAGGCAACACAGGTTTTGTGGACTCCTGGAGTTTTTTTCCATATAATTTTTCCATGAGGTTTCTATTGCAGAGAACAGAAATTTTTGTTCAAAGATAATCCAGTGAGAATTTGTTTGTATGCAGGAAGACACTCAATGATATATCTTTCTGCTAATATCAAATATCATTGTTTCTGGCCCTGGTGATTCCAAGCCTGGTTTAGAAACAAAAGCATCCAAAATTACTTGCAGATTACTTTCAGCAGGGACTTGAGCCTCCCCAGTCTTCTAAACACATGAGCTTTTTATTGCTTTGTCCTAAAATGTGAATTAGGATGGATTTCTTGTCTCATCAGTGTATCAAAGGCTTACTTCTCAAACGAAATGTTTTCCCTCCGCTATGCTCTTAGTGCTAAAATATCTGGGAAGTACTCTCTCATGTTCTTAAACAAAGAGTTTAGAAGCTTCTCAGTTTGACTGCATTTGCAAGAAAATTTTCCATATTCTTTTAAACAGTTGTGAAAAGTATTACTGACTTTGGGGAAAAAAAACTCAGGTCAGAAGCCTCAAGTCCAGCCCTAGTTTAAATATTATTTAACTCTAAAAAGTCAGAAATGTTTCTCAATTATGTAGCAACTCTGCCTTTTTGTGTGTCTTAGGCTCTTCTTAGCTTGCAAGTCTAGCACTGGAGAGAGGGTGTGGGTTGCTCTTTCCAGTAAGCTCTCAGCAGGTTTATTTACAAGCCAGTCTCTTGTACTGAAAGCAATGGGAGGCACCCATGAAGCTGCGTCAGTGCAGTGGATGGCTTAGTTTAGCTTAATCTTACTGGTTATGATGCGTGAAATGTAAAGACACTGAAGAAACTGATTTGTTTCTTGCTGTGGCTGAACACAAAAGGCTGAAGTTTGAAAAAAAACCCACTTTTATCCTCCTATAAACTGTGCAAATATGACGTGGCAAATCATGGATTCCCACCACTTTATATTAACAGAAGCATTCTTAGAACCACTTTTTAAACACAGTGTGAAGGTGTTTTTGGAAACAGATGGCTTATCACCGTATACTCAAATCGGCCACACACACAGGGGACACAGGGAGGGTGAGGTGAAAGACAGTGGCAGAAAATCAAAGGGTTCAGAGAAAGAGTCTGAATGCTCTCTTGCCTCCCAGGGAAAAATTAATTCATTAAACCACATTCTTGGGGCAGCAAATGAAAAGCAATAGCCCTTTCAGGAAAAAAAAAAAAAAAGCGATGCTCTATTTGTCAAGGTCATGCACTTTCCTTAGGGCACAGATGAATGAAGTATCATACTTTACACTCACCGCAGTGAAAGCAGGGTGAGAAGATGTTTGTGATTCAGAAAGATATGCCCGTCAGCTCCCTCACCTCTGTGATCAATCAATCAATCACACACTTGTCTGCTCCTGCTGGTCTCACAGGTCTCTCCACCAGTGAGTGCTCCAGCTTGGTGGAGGCCTGAGGCTAGGACTGATGAATGAGAGGACCCATTCACAAAAGAGCTAGAAAAGACTGGGGGGCCCCTCTCAAAATTTATGGCCCTGGTCAATGCTCTGAAGCCCCACCTTTACCACACTGGGTATACTAAGAGTCTGGGCTTTGGTGTCTTGTGTCTGCTTACGAGTCGTAGGTGGCCCCTTCCCCCCAGTATCCCTCACTCACCAAGTCTGGGCGAGGTAATTGTGTTGACATTTATCTTCTCATTGCAGACCTCTTGGTGGCACTGCCTGTAGGCCGCTGGCTTGGACAGGACAGGGCACTCATTGCCATGGCGCCCGGTAACTTTGTGCATACACTGTACCACGCGTGACTGGAGACCCTTCCCACAAGTTGCGGAGCACTGGAGGAGAGAATGGACTGAGACACGGTCCAGGCAGAGTAGTTTCAAAAACCACACACACAAGTATGCCATAAAAAGTCATTGCCAGGGCTGAAGCAGACTGGCAGCTAACTATGGTGCTGGGGACTTCACAACAGGGGACACGACAGACAGGGACCCTTCACGCAGCTGTTATATTTGTCTCTGAAGATTTCCCAGCTCCATGGAGTGCTGTGAGCAGAGGAACTGTCCCAGCGCAGGGAAGGGAGCCGTTGCCTTTCTGTCCGGACTCATTTCATCCTCTGAGTCCGCCTACACTGGCTGTCTCTCCAGATGCCCGTAACAGGGAGCAGGTAGAGATGCAACTCCCTCCACCAGCCACAAAGAGGCAAAGCTGGAAAATACATACTGCCAAATATTGCCTCCCTCTCTATGAGGGACCCAGTGGAACTGGTTGCCTTGATTTGAAAGCCCTCTCCAGGACTTTTAACAGTTGTACCAAAGCTTCTTCCAGGGAAAAGAGGACCACTGCCAGACACTGCCATAAGATAAAATCAAGGATTACAGCAGAGGCAGGCAGCTCCTTCTGCATGCCCAGACCTCTAGAGAAGTTCTATTCCAGTATACAGGAGGAAACATCAGGTATTCAAGTATTCAGCCTCATCTATCCCTGCTAACCGTCTGGCACTCATCTGTCCTCCTGGGAGCAATTGCAAATTGTACTCCATGAGTTTTGGCTTCTACTTGCCAGGAGGCCCAGCCTGTTTATATGCTTTCTTTGTTGTCATGCAATTGGAGTCCCTACCTCTCCCTCCCTCTTCCTCTCGCCCAGTCACTTGTGATTTACAATGTCCTACTTGCACGCTGTTCAATTTTAATAAAGCAAACACATTGAGCACAGTGAGGTGCACCAGCTGGAGTTAATAAAAGATCCTTGCATTTAAAATAAAGAAACAATGGGTTGCAGGGCTTTGGTAAGATTCCTATTTCTGCTAGAGCCACACACAAGCAAACGATGGGGGAAGAGGAGGAGGTGGGGGAAAACACGGGATATACAATTAGGATGGTATTAAAAAGATCCTAATTTCTTTACTCTGCTGTTTTTCAATAAGGTCAATGCAGTGAACGAGGTCCTCCCAGTGAAACACTGTTGCCTCAGAGTGGTGGTTATTAAAAATAGCACGCCAAACATTTATGAGGCTCAAAAGACAAGTGCCATTGAGGCTGAAAGCTGTTCAGATCCTGAGGGGAGAACGGCTTGTGAAGCATCTTGACAGACTGAATGGCCTGAACCGGTGGGAACTCCAAAAGGCATGCGGTACACATGGGCAAAGTGGAAACATAGCAAGGCAATGCACACAGTTCACAGGATGAGATCTATGGGACGGACTGTCCTCCGGTTTGTGCCTGGGCTGCTCTGCTGAGATCAGGCCTCAGACTGAAGTCCAAATACCAACTACATGTATGCAGTGGGGATGACTGTAAGACTAGGAGCTGGGGCAAAAGAATATATGGATTCACCTCATTTTCCATCTCTTCCATCTAGGGGAGAGCCCAGCAAAGCTGTGGTTATTTTGTTCAGGAAGTATCACAAGAAACCCCTGCTGCTTCTCAAAGAACATTGGATACAAGAAGGCTAGCCTTGCTCTGGACTGGAGCGCAGGAAGCTTTTCCTTCCTGTGTGGATCAGTGAAAGGCCTGACGAAAACTGGCCTCAGATGCACAGGACCACATCAAACAGAGCTGGTGGAGCCCTACTTCAGACCACCCAGTGCAGAAATGCATTTGCGTGATGTGCACTCTTTATTTCTGGGTAAGAGGAACTGTAGGATCGGTGAAGCCTGTTGTCAAAGATAACACACACTCTCAATTATCTTCTTTAGTTGCTCATACTAACGACTGTTTATTGAACCAGTTTCCTGTCTTTGGTATGCTCACCAAATTTGTGTTTGTTTTTCTCTTAAATTCTCCCTTATACTACACCTGCTCTTTATTCCTATCCTTTCCCCCATTGCATTTCTCTAGATCAAATTTCTCTATTCTGAACAGCCTCTGGCTCAGATCCCCTGCTGGACTTTGCCACTAAGCCATCCTGGTGTGCCAGGATGTGTACCTCTATATTTCCAACTATGCAGCCCCTCCAAGACCTGCTTATAGGATTTGGAAGGTAGCAGTCATGCTAAATTAAAAGCTTTAAATGTATTTTGGAATTTTAACTTTTTAGTAAATGCTTGTTTGTTTCATCATCCTTATTTCTATTTAGTGTCAATAGATTAGTTTACCACATATTTCTTTGCACTTAGATGTTCATGTTTACATCATAATTTCGTTACTGTCTATTAATATTTCTGTAATGATTATGGTATTTAGGACTAAGCTGAATTAGCCCTTTGCTTCTATGTCCTATGGTGAAGTATTCCAAAAAGCAATCCTTAAAAGTCCCTCATTTAAATCCCTCTTATAACTTCAGTTTCTGTGGTGAGACGCAGGCATTTCATTAGTTGTGGGTGCCCCTCTGCTGCTTCCCAGTCGCGGGCACCTTCAGCGACTTTCACTGGTCTGGAAGCCAGTCAGGCACGACCACTACGTTTGGAGTTAAAGCTAACAATTTTTTATGGTTATAAATTCATCTATTAGTCCCTTTCCCTTCACCAGCCAAATGCAACCTCTAATCCTTGGGATTTCAATGGCACTTTTAGTCTTCAGAGTGCTTTACTAACCTTAATCCTCACAAAACTCTTGGCAAGGGGAGTGAATTATACGTCCATCTTACATACAAAATAATAGTTGTATCGTGTAAGCATAAAGTAACTTGTCCGAGGCCACGGGGCCCCTTGACATGACTGTAACATAGCGGGTCTGAAACCCTTGTCTCTGGCCTTTTGGCACTGCCTGAATTTAGGAACAACGCTCTTACCAAAAAGAAAAAAAAATGCAGTTTTCTCATAAGGTGAATACGGTTTTCAGATCCTGATGTACAAATGCGCACCTACCTATGTCTGCGCTTCTGTCTCTGCATTTGTTAGCCAGCAAGGAGGGCAAGCAATGAAACTTTTTCCATAGACACTGCCAACTCCGATCCTTAGACAAATAACAGCAGTTTTTGCCTGAAGCAGTTTTATTCCTTCTCCTGGGAGACTGGGATCATCACCTATGCTATGCAATTAGTTTTTCACAGCCAGGAAGACAGATTTTAACATCTTTCTTGAACTCTTTTGGGCTTGGCAGCTAAAGGAAGGTTGGACATCTGGCTTATTTTAAGACAAAATTTTCAACTCTGTTCTTGGATAGTCTCTTTGCCTAGGAATTTCAATAGGAAATAGGAATAGATACAAAATATATACAAAGAGGGAATTGTTACTTGTGCTACACTAAGAAGAGACAATATCATTAAAAGCGGCAAAACAGTCAAACTCCAACTGAACAGCAGATTCCCATAAATACCTTTTCTCCTGCTCTGGCTAGCTAAATGCATTGCTACAGCCTCTCTCTGCCCAGATATTTATGGTGCAAGTAAATATACCCACTGAACAGTTTTCAAGGCTAGATTCACTGTGGGCCCTCTGATACAAGACCCTCAGGCTTGGATACAGGATCTGAGGACTGCAGGAAGGAAAGCTGCTGTAGCGTTCTTGCAAACAGAAGAACTCCCAGGCAACCACCAGCTGCTGGAGAGAGCAAATTGCTCATGGCAGCACGTGGGCTGGGCTGCAGGAGCTGAAAGCAGCGTTATGGCCCTGCATCGGATCTAGTCTCGGCTGATGCTCTGCCACAGTGCAGAACGCTGAGAGGCTCCACTGCCGCACAGTGAAATTGTGCTGACTGTATTTCAAATACTGCTGACACACAGTGGATGTTTTGGGGAAATACTGAGTTGTTACTCTGCTATTTACAAAAATACTCTGATGTTCTGAAAAGCCTTCCTAAGCACTGACAGAATTCCACAATACTCATGTTGTTTTGATGGTGCAACGGAGTGAAGTGATCTGCGAAGCTAGAGCACTAGTTCTGGAGCCTGGTACAGAATTGTGTGGATCTCTGTCGACGCTACCTGAGCTGTGTTTCAAGTACTGCGAGAAAATCCTCCAGCAACTTGCTTAGCCTGGGAAGCTGGGGACTTGGGCAAGTGGTTGAATGCAGACATTGGTGTCAGACAAAGAAGCGTTTTTTCCCTTCCACTAGGCACTGTCAGTGATACCACTATCAGACAAATGCATATGCAAACTGTGCGTAGCTTAACCACAGGACACTAAAGGATCCAGATTTTACTGACAATACAGCCATTGTAAATAGGAAATCAACCAACACACAAAGATCAAAGGATTGTTCAACACTCTAAAAGAGAGGGGTTAATGAAAAGTGAACCTAATGAGAACCCTAGTTCAAGCACTGCTTGAGAAGGCAAAAGGAAAACCAGAAGTGCCCCCATTCACATTCCTTGGCAGTAACATGCAAGCCAGTGGGGATATCCAGAAGGAAATAAACTCACAAATTCTCAAGGCAGCAGCTGCATTCATCAGCTTAAAGAAGATTTACTCACTGAAAATCACCAACTTTAAGATCAAACTATGATTTTTCAACCGGAATGTTATTTCCACCTTAGGATACTGATATGAAAGCTTGAAACCTACCAAAGGTGAAGACAGATGTCTAATTGCTTTGAAAGTAAATGCCTCAGGAAAATACTGGGTATTGAAATAGAATGAATTTACAGTAAGTTCTGAGATCTGTCAGGGACTTCATCAACTCCTGATCTGCAAAAGATAGCCAGGGAAGGAGACAGAAATGTGTCTGAATGAAGCCAGGGCAGGCCTGCTTTTGGGCAGCTGGAGGAATGAGTAAAAGGAAGCAGCCCAAAGTGTTGAGGGTTAACACCGTTAGAAGAAAGTATAGATTTACCACTACAGAGAAAAGGCTGTGATGTGTTCAGAACTGAATGGGACAATGGAGCGTTGCTTATGCCCTAGGTGAGGATTGCGGGCCTGGCAGGGATGCCTTCAGGCCATGTCTTACCTTTAGAA